GGAGAGTTCTTAATCATTAGCTGGAACAATGTCCCTCGAGTCCCACAAAAGGAATGGGCTGAAGGCTGAAAACCCGTGCAGTTTTATCAAAACACCCCCTGTTCCTGAAGTAATGGGCTGAAGGTTTCTTGGCCAGTTTCAGCTGAAACAGTCTGATCCCAAATCAGACTGAAGTGCTGAATGAATACTTGTATACAGAACAAGACCTTAACAAGAAAGGACAAAACCTTAAAATAGATCCTCAATATAGCCTGGAGAGCTTCAAATGCAAAGAGGGCAGAAGCTTGGATCCCAGAGAAAGATGTACCTTCAAACTCCAGGGCTGGCAAGAAAAGCCTTTTAAGTGAGTGACAAGTGGGCTCAATTTTGGACATCTCACCTGTTTGCTCACTAGCCCCAGAGCCATCAGGAGTCTTCCCTGGTCCCCCTAAAGGCCACCAAAATATTGATCTAAAACAAATAGACTGCCAGTTCTTTGAGATTAGCAGAGAATTGCAAGTTGGGGTTGGTTACCATAGTGAGCCATCTGCAAGTCCCAACAGGGCAAAGGGAAGGAGAGTGCTCTTATTGAGAGGAAAAGGAAGTTGGGAGGACTAGAGTAAACAAAGAGTCCATCGCTTTTCATTGACTGAGCTCTTGCTAGGAAAGAAGAGGAATCTTTCTTCCTTTCGGGGCATGAGAGCTCCCTCTTCTGGTCTCCTGATTCTATTTAATAGAGGTTTCTGTTTATTAGTTTTTTGTTTTTACATAGGGAATTCTTTCTTATTGGCATGTGAATGTCTTCTATCTGAGATTGTTTAATACCTATTGAGAAGATTTCATCTCTTCCACTGAAGTGTACTTGCCTAGCTCCTAGTGTTGTATGTTTGGTGGTGAGAGAGGTGACATCCCTTCCTTACATTAACTTATAAAGCATTTCCCTGTTTTTAGTTCATGTCTCACCCATGAGTCCCCTTTTCCTGGTGTCTCCAAGACACCAGCCTCTTAAGGGTTTTGCAGGATAAAACGGTTCTCATATTGTCTATATCTCTTTATTTGGTTACTTGAGGACCACCCTGATAAATTTAATTCATTGTTTTTCACTGTTCTACCAGTCCATGCGTGTGTTTTAATTCCATTTCTACCATGTGAGTGGATCTGCTAGGTGTCTAAGTGCTCAGATGACAAGAACTCTCTGAACAGGACTGACATGGATTTTTCCTTAGTATCCTTGCATCAGAGGCCTTGAGGTTATTCAAAAAGATGTTGGTGTCTTACAGAGCCTAGTATAGGGTTTTACAAATAAATGGTACTCAATAAATAATTATTTGGTTTTATTGTTGAAGCCTAATGAAAAAAAAAGTGTTCTAATCTATGTAGGGAGCAGATAAAATGGGATTTTGTCAGGGAAAGAGAGGAAGAAATGTACCGCAGAAGTCTGTTAAACAGGAAATATATTTTTTGCATCAATTATAAGGTTGAGATGAATTAATAAAAAATCAGATGGTTATTAGACTAATATATTACATTAATCTGTTCCTCTTACAATTATAATGTACTTGTATTCTCTATTGTATAACTAAAAATACAATAAACATATTTTAAGTAACATTATATAGCAGACCTAGTACTATTTAGTGAAATGCTTTTTAATTTCTATTAATTTTATAGCATCTAACCCCTAGAATCTCTATACTAAATGCATTTCTGAAGCTATTGACTTCTCTCTACATTTTGTAAGGATAGTAAATGAAACCTGTAGTTCAGTTAGGAAATGATAGGTTGTTAACTTGTGACAGGTTTTCAGGAGCCTTCTTGATGGATTAACTACATCTAAATTGCAATGATACCCTGAAGTCCTCTTTACTTACCTTTCACAGAGTTGAATGTACCATCATCATCACATACCTTAAAAATGTATTCTTCAACTGTAAAATGTTTTCAGAACAAAATGGCATGAGTAAATGAGTATGTCATTCTCATGTGAGCTACTCTGTGGGCCTTTCTTTCTTTCTGGATCAAATAAATTTCATGTGAAATTATGGGCATAAGTCCACTTTTGGAATGCTGAAACTGAAAGAGTTATTACCAAGAATATGACAAAGCTCTGCCTTTTAACTTAGATCTTTTTCCATGCAGCATCTGTAAACTGATTAGAAAAATATAGATAAAATTTCCATATTAAACTGGCTCACAAAAGAATTATTTTGTGACCCACAGATTTGTGGTCCTCAAACATCACCAGATATTTTTTATAGTTTTTTCTAGTGATGCCTTGAAATCAAAGTATCTGCCCTCAAGTAAAGGAGACCAGATTTGATATTAATTTCCATAATTTCTTAAACCATATTTAGTTTTTCTAGAATATATGTAATGAATATAACTTTTCTGTCTTCACAACTGAGTATTAAGATATTAGGCCAGTGATTCTAGAATTAACTCTTTGAATAAATGATATACTACAGCTGTATAATATTGATTCTGACTCCATTCATCTTTTATAATTAATCAAGTATTTTATAACTTGCAGCAATATTGCCTGTAACTTGTGCAGTAAGTCCATTGTTACTGGGATACCTGGGTCCTGGGAAGTACAGTTCCGTGCAGAGCTTCTCTGGCTACTTCTGCTACCTGGAGCTTTAAAATATCTTTTTATTCATCCAAAGAGCAATATATGCCAATGATAGAAACCCAAATGATATAGATGGTTATACAAGGAAAGGAAAGTCTCCTTCTGATGCCAGATATGCAATTCACCAATCCCTCCTCCCCAAAGGCAACTGTTAAGTTTCTTGAATATATTATCTAGAAATGTTCTGTGCATGTGTAAACTTTATATATATAAAATATATATATTTATATATAAATGTTAAATTTTTAAATATACACATGTACACAATGTTAAATGTTAAATATACATATATATATCATACAGTATAATGCTGTGTAAGTACAAACATACTGGACATGCTGTTTTGTAACTTGCTTCTTTGTTTAAAAATAGATCTTAGAAATTATTCCATATTAACACTAGTATTACTGATAAGCAAATATAAAAATTGGACATATCCCTAGAATTGGAATTACTTGATCAAAGAACATGTGTATTTACAACTTTTAAAAACTTTTGGTCTGCTTGGAATTTATTTTGATAGGAGTAAGGTAGGGATCTAGCTTGATCCATTTCCAGATGGCTGCTAGTTTTCCCCAACATTCTTTGCTGATCAATAAATCTCTCTCTACTACTCCAACATATATAGTTTTTATCATATACTAAATTCCATATATGTGGAATTCCATATATATATATTCCATATGTATATATATATTTAGACTTTATTCTCTATTCTGTCAGTCAACTAATCTATTCATCTTTTTAATTACCATAGCTTTAATATAAAAATATATTAATATAAATATCAGAATAGGCTGGTCACCTACATTTGTATGTTTGCTTTTTGATCTAATCCTTAAAATTAATTTTTTTTAAGTTTAAAAAGAAATCCTCAAACAGTTTGGATTGATTTATGGGGATTTAAAATCATTAAGTGTCTCCTTGTGTAATAAAAGGGCATGCGTATTATTTTAGTTTACATGGTTATACTATTATTTGTATATCTTTAAGTGTTTCCATTTATATTCTAAAATAAGATTATCTCCATTGCTTGATTTATCAGCTCTAAACAATATCTAGTGATAATCTGCCTTGCAAAATTAGAAAAATCAGTGTGCTTATATTCTTTATACCATATTCTTTCCTTTGTTCTTCCTCTCAATATTTATTAATTAGATTGTTTTGCAGCATATTTATTATTTACAGCATTTATATTCTATTCTTTCACCAAATTCTACTCTTAAATAATTTCCATGGCTTTTTTATTCAAGTAGAATCAATTTACTCCATTAATCCTTTATTATTTTTGCAATTATTCTTGAGTTCCCTCATGTTTGAGATGTTATTTTCCTTTACTTTTGAAGAATATCTGGCTGGGAATGAAATTTCTAGATCACCCTTTTACTGCCTGGATCCTCTAGACCTGCTTTACTGTTACCTGGCAATGAAAGTTCTCATGGAAAGTGAACTCAGGTTCTTATGCACCACACACCAATAGGTGACTTGATTGATTTTTTGGCTTGGGTGCTCATAATATCTTTTAAGTCCATCTTTGAAATTTTGGGGTTGATTGTTTTATATCAATTTTGGAGGGGAAAATTTACCTTTCAATCTTTTATTTCAGGAAAGTTTTCTTCTATTATATCTTTTAGCAAACTTCTGTCTCATTTGTTTTGTTTCCTTTTTCAGCAGTGTCAGTTATGCCTATTTTGGAACTCATTTGTCTGTCATATTCTTTCATTTTCTGTCTACTATTTGTGAAGTATTTTCTCTTTTTCATTTTATTTTGCTCAGTTTTATCAGTGTTGTCCTGCATATTCATGGCCTTGCTTTCAGTAGTATCAGTGCCCCTTTTTTGATGCTTCTAATGTTTCATTCATTTAAATCATGATTTTATTTTTCTGTTTATTTCATTAGTTTTATGTAAAAGTTCCTTATGACCTTCATCTGCTTTCTTTATATGTTTTGTGGTATAGTTTTCTTGGGGTAATTTTTGGCTGTCTTAATTCTTTTCTTCAAGTATTTCTTTATATATTTTGGTGGGTTTTTTCCTTTCGTGTATCTTTTTACATATTTCATGATGGTTCATTTATAGTTATTACTCATCTTAGAATTAAGGCTTTTAAAAAAGGGGGAGGGGGCTTCCCTGGTGGCACAGTAGAGAGTCCGCCTGCCGGTGCAGGGGACATGGGTTCGTGCCCCGGTCCAGGAAGATCCCACATGCCGTGGAGCGACTGGGTCCGTGAGCCATGGCTGCTGAGCCTGCGCATCTGGAGCCTGTGCTCCACGACGGGAGAGGCCACAGCAGTGAGAGAGGCCCATGTACCACACAAAAAGGGGGAGGGAAAGCTGAGTCATTTGTCAAAATAATAGAATATATGATCCTTTGAAATAAGAGCACTGAGAAGAGATGAAAAAGCACAAAGGACAAAGGATGAGACAGCAGAAAGAAATGAATAGTGAACTGTAGAGCTCAAAAAGAAATGGGAGAGAAAAACAAAATCATAACAGAAATGAAGACAGCATTAGATGCTGCAAAGGATAAAATAGACAACATGAAAACATAGTCAATGATGAGTAGAATAGGCTTGGAAAGCCATTTTTTAGTGGACCAGCTTTTTTTTTTTTTTTTTGAAGATATAGTATAGCAGAAGAACTTCAACAGTGAACTGGATTAATTAATTGTCTTTGTAGGCTTTATAAATTAAGGGAAAACCTCATCTGTGGGTTAGATTCTGCTGTTATCTAGTAGAAGTTCTTATTGGGTCATGTTGAAAATTCCTGTGTTTCAGGATTTCTTGTGTACTGATTTAGTGTTTAGCTCTTACCTTGCCAAGAACTGGTTACTGTCCTCCATCTCTCTTCTCACCTCTCACCCAACAGGTGAATTTTTCTTTCAGTATGTCAGTTTTCCCTTTCTTGACTTCATTGCCACAGTTGGTTGTCAGATAGCTAAAGGGACTCTCAAGTGCTCTGCCATGCACCCAGATCTTACCTTTGCAAGTAAGGAGTTGTTGATTTCACTCCTTATCTGGTGCCCTCTAGTAATCTGGAGATATGCATAATCCACTCTCAGCTTTCTCTCTTAATGAGGTCTAATACTCACCATGCTTGGCAAACTTTTTTTTAAATACATAGTTTTTAATTGAAGTAGAGTTGATTTACAATGCTGTGCCAATGTCTGCTGTACAGCAAAGTGACTCAGTTATACACATGCAGACATTCTTTGACAAACTTCTTAAAGTATGGTTCCTCATTGTGGCTGCATACACATACACATTTATATTTCATATTTCTATTTCTATGTCATATTTCCCATTTTTCTTCATATTGTAGTTTTGTCTATTTCAAAGAAGAGAGCCTAGGCTTTGCCATATTAACTAGACATCTTGAAATGGTCATATGAGAAAGCCATTCCTCTGGACTAAGCATTGCTCTCTCACTGTCAGTCACCTTCTAGAATGAAGACACTGAGTTAATGACATGATGACACTTTAAGTCAGAAACACTGGAGTCTAAATTTATTTTTATCATGTTTTGAAGGGCATGGGAAAGTGCCAGAGAAGCACGAGTGGCAGCTGCGTAAAGGGTGAAGAAATTGACGAGGGAAGAAGTGTTGCCTTGTTGCTCCAGGCACTGACTTTCACAGTGACAGCCACTGGCATTCTCCTAATGACTCTCTACTTCCTTGGTTCCTGAGACAGTTCTGAACAAGGTAAGATGTTAACAGTCCCAGATTCATTGGTTGGTAAGACCTGGAATTAGCAGTGCTGTCCACAGATCAAGGGTAAGCCCAAGGTGTTCAGGTGGCTGACAAATTGCAGAAACACCTTCCTACTACCCAGCTTATATTTTATGATTGGACTATACCCATCAAATTCTGGCCCTCTATAAAATAACTGCTGAATGAATGAATGCTTTGATTCCCTTCTGAGACTGGAGTTAGGCTTCAAATCTGGCTACTCATCTGGGGCCCTGTTGCTGTTCCTCTGTATTCACATGGCCTTCTACTCTATGCCTTTGTCTTCTCCTTTTCTGTCTGAAACAAAGACTCTGTCATTGGATTTAGAGCCCATCTGGTTAATCAGGATGATCTCATCTTGAGATCCTTAATTACATCTGCAAAGACCCCCCCCTTTTTTTTTCCCAATAAAGTCATATTCACAGGTTCTGGGTGGATATATATTTTGGGAGCGGTCATTCAACCCACTACACTTACAAAACACGTATTGGAGAACATTCTCATGTATGACAGACATAGTCCATCAGTAATGAATTGATATATAGGAAAATTGTAAGCTGTGATTTATGTGAGATTCTCAAGGAGGTGACTACAACCCCACCTCCTTCCTGCCTGCTCACCTCTAACATAACAGTGAACTGTTGCAGTGGTAGTTGAAAATCAGTGGATGATTATAAGGCCACTTAAATGCCTGTCTTTGTGTATAGCCAGGATTTTACTTTTAGCTGTGCCTCACCCACAAGGTTGAACTCCCCTGACATTGACACGTGTCCCAACCTCATCTACACTTGCTCTATTCTTTTTGCGTTTTACTTTGCTGACCCTATGTGGGCCCACACTTTGACACACTGCCTGGTTCTGTAGAACTTCCCCTCCCACTCTCAGCCATATTGTGAGGGTCCTGGCGTGATTTCAGTGCATACTGCATTTTCAATGAAGAAAATGCTTGCAAATTCTGTCATTGTACTTAAGCTCATTTTGCTGTAGTTCTGTAAGCAAGGAGTAGTAATAATAGAACAGTGGGCATCCAATTTGTTGAATGCAAAACAAAGGAAGTTAGGCAACCTACCTAGGTTCACACAGCAGGTTACTGGTAGAACTAAGTTTCACATCCAGGTCTTTCTAACTCCAGAGTCCAAGCGTGTAGCCACTATGCTGTAAGGCTCAATTGGAAAGCAGCCACTTGAACCAGGGATGGGCTTATGTTACCACTGTGGGCAAGTTTAATAGAACCCCACAACAGGCAATCTCTGTGAGATCATCTGACTCCTCAAAATACTGTAGACAATGAAATACATTACTTTATCCAGAGGATTAATTACTTGATTAAAGAATATAATATAAGCATATGTAAGAATATAATATAATATAAGCAAGAATATAATTCTTCTTGCTTTCTGGTAACAAAGGCTGCTTTTAAGTTAAATTATCAATGCTGTGCATGATACACAATTCCTATAGGTGGTAGAATGTTAGAAATAACCTTGCTCATTTAAAAAAGCATGAGAGGGCAGGGGATAACAATGGTGATCACAGTAAAATGAGGAACAGTCGAAGGCTCTACCATAAAGAGCAAGAAAAGCACTGAAATTATACTACACAGCCTAAAGACACAAAACATTTCATTTCCCTTTGCATGAAACTGGTCTGACCTTCACCGTCCTGAAATAACAGGAAATATTATTTCTCTGGTAACCGTACTACATTTTAGGCGAGTAGTTAAGCAGAATGCTCAGCATGAATAAATACAGTTAGAAATTGTTAGGGCAGATCTCTATGAAGAGTGCATGTTAAGCAGTAATAGAAATGTTAGAGCTTACAACAAAATGAAATTCGTATTGTAAAGGTCAAACTTGCCTAAGAGAGACTTTTTAGGTAAACAATTGGGTTGAAAACCCTATTCCTCTTTTGTTTTAATAGTAACATATGGTGGCTGAGGTGATGAGTTTCAGCTGAGTGAATCTTGTAGCTTTATCCTGTGCTTGATTCAGCAGAGCTGTGGATGATTTTTGCAGGACTATGAAAAATGGCTGAATTCTCTCTTCCTCCAATCTGAAATTAATGACTAGGAACATTACCAACACAGTAGGTTTTCAAAAAAATAGTATAAGTACTTTATCTAGAAATGGTGTGTTTCCCTTAGATAAACATGCAAGATTTTATGGGATAAATTTGTCTTTAGGAAGACAAATTTATGTAATTTTGAACTCAGCAACATTAGGTAAAAACAACTAATTTAACAATATTAGCTAAAAACTACTGGAGGTAAGAATCAGAGATATATGTATCTATATTAATCTCTGCCTGATTCCTGGATTTGAGGTATACTGCCTAGGCTCATTCCCTAGTGAGAAGACTGGCAGAGCTGTAAGAACTTGTAGGAGGACCAGAAGATCCCTAATATCACACCTGAACTGATGGATGAGCCATCAAAGTCGCCTCAGCCCTTGGAGAATTTCATACTTACTTACTTAATCTTTAAATTTATCAGACATTAATTGAACCCCAACTATATACCAGCTGCTCTTCTAGAGATGTCAGTGAAGCATAGTTACTGCCTTCAACACTGTTTCGAGAGGGTGGGCATGGTGATCAAGCATGTACGCTAGTTACGGTTCAGAGTGCTAAGGAAATGCTGAAGTTGAGAGAGAGCCCAGCTGATACCACTCCATCTGATTACAGGACGGGCAGGAATTCAGGAAAAACTTCTTGAAAGAGGTGTGGTTTGATGGGAGTGCAGAAGTTATTTCATCTCTGGGCCTGTTTCTTCTTCTGTAAAATATTGAGAAATGATAGGACCACCTATCTTTCTGGGTTGTCATGAGGATTACATGAGAGAGTGTGTGAGAAGCCTGGCACTTGTAGGTACTGTAAGTAAGTATTCATTATGATCCCTTTTGGCCACTTTCCTTAGGATTTAAAAACAAAAGCTTCTTAACTCTTTCCTGAGGTCAGGGAAGTCCTGAAACCTATGAACGTGGAATCCAGCTAGCCTTCTCATTTTTGTGTGGTGAGCTGCATGAAATTAAGGTGTAGGTAATTTCTCAAACAGGTGATTCTGCTAAGAGAGTTAATGGTTTAAGAGTGAATGGTTGGTGGGACCTCCCTGGTCGTCTAGTGGTAAAGAATCTGCCTTGCATTGCAGGGGATGAGGGTTCATCCCTGGTCAGGGAACTAAGATCCCACATGCCGTGGGGCAACTAAGTCTGCATGCCACAACTACTGAGCTCACACGCCTCAACTAGAGAGCCTGCATGCTGCAAACTACAGAGCCCAAATGCTCTGGAACCCACGCGCCACAACTACAGAGCCCACGTGCCCTGGAGCCTGCGTGCCACAACTAGAGAAGAGAAAACCCGCACGCCGCAACTAGAGAAAAACCCGCGCACCACCACAAAGAGCCTGCACGCTGCAATGAAAGATCCCGCATGCCTCAATAAAGATCCTGCATGCTGCAACTAAGACCCACCACAGCTGAAAAAAAAAAAAAGTGAATTGTTGGCCCCATGCACATCTAGACTATAAGGAAAAGTAAAGTGTTAATCCAGTGTTGAGCTTTTTGTTCTTTCCTGTCTCTGCCTTACTCTCTCTGCAGCCACCTTCCTCCTTAAGTACACCGCTTATGTCAGTTGTTCCAGAGACAAGGGCCACCATGTTTCCAGCTAACCTCATACATGATAACACCCAAGATGTGCATTTTAAAAGTTTGTTTAGATATGATTGATCACCTCAGGAAAGTCGTGTGATTACTAGGTAATAATCTTATTAGAAGAACCTAAGAAAGCAGCATTCTTGATGATTTACCCTTGTTTCATTGGCTCAAGCACTGATCTCAAACCTGGTTGATCCATTTTAGTGAAAAGGTTAAAGTGAATCCACTTTCAAATGTTATAGCTTAACTAGAAATAATTTTAAGAGCTCACAATCAGGTATCTGTAAACTTTAATATTTATTTACTTATTGATTTAAATCAACTGAGATTATGTACTCCTCTCTTTGGGCATGTATGGTGCATATTGGTATTTGGTATTCTCTGCCAGGGATTCCTTTCTTCACTGGTATGTCCAGCCCTGTGATAGTCACGGTGTCTTTTAAACTTGCCACCTCCCTGTGAAAATTTCCTTGCTCATATCTTAGTGCCTTCCTGTTTTGGCTCTAAGTTATGACCTAGATTGTCATCTCTATTTCGCACCTCCTCTGTTGGTGGAGAATGAGATCGCTGTCTCTGATTGTCCTGTGATTCTCTTAGTGTCAGGAACAGCTAATCGTTTCCATGAGTGTTGCAGTTCTTCTAAGCTGCTTGGAATAAAATGGGGTATCATTTCCTAGAGGATGATGACACAGCTTTCTGGGGCTGTCAAAACACTCTAATTCATTGAGAAGAAGCATTTGACGCATATTGTGAGAGTTATGCATACATGAAGAGAAGACTATAGAACTCAATGGGTTAACATCATCTTTCAGATAAACTTCATTTTTCTCTCCCCTCTTTTAGCCCTTGTGCCAGTGAAACGAAAGGTATTTTTTAAAAAACCACGACATGAAAAGAGGGAAGTATTGTTTTTGTAAAAGCAACCCTAAAACACAGCTATTGAAAGAAGCAATGTTTAAAAAATTTAGAATAGACCCATCTAAATTCTCAGTTTAAAATGACTTACTAATACAAATACCTAAAAGGCTTTAAAAAATTGTTAATGTTGTTGAATAAATGTTGAATGAGATAAATGAGGTGTCTTGAAATGGGGCTATGATTTATTATAATCATTTGTGGAATTTTGGTTTTCCATTTTAAATGGTATACCTCTTGCAGGCAGGAATGGGCTTCATTGTCCTCGTCATGGATAAGGGAAGAGTAAAATCCCCTGTCTTTACAAGGAAACTTGTTGAATCCAACAAGTTTCTGGGATGTCGTGAGGATTACATGAGAGGGTGTGTGAGAAGCCTGGCACTTGTAGGTACTGTAAGTAAGTATTCATTATGATACCTTTTGGCCACTTTCCTTAGGATTTAAAAACAAAAGCTGCTTAACTCTTTCCTGAGGTCAGGGAAGTCCTGAAACCTATGAACCTATGCTGCTTCTCCTTGACCAGCAGTTTCAGGTCTGTTTGTTTATTGGTTTATCTTTGCCTTTTCTTTTTCTTCAGGCCTTTCGGAATCACCCTTTTATATAGCAGATGGTTTTTTTCTTTTTAATATAATCTGAAGGTTTTAGATATAGAACTATAGGGGATTTTTTTGCTCATTTGTATTTAGTTTTTTGACAACCATTTTTATTTTAAACCTGTCTCTCTTTATGATATACTTTTAGTTTTTAATCATTTTTATTTACTATATGATCTGAGATATTCATATTTTTCCAAGTGTTTATATAATTAAGTCATGATTTAATGAGTTATCCCTTTAAGATTCACTATCTATTTGACTCCTCTTCTAGGAGATACAGATATCAGTATGCTTTCTCTTTAACCTACTTCCCCTTCTCTTCTCTTCTATCACCAGAGGGAGATTATATTATTATTTCTAAAGTACTATGGTCTATAACATTTACATTCTGTTCTACTTATAACTCTCACAGTTGAGTAGTGTCTTTACAATGATTTCTCCACTTACCTCTAAGTTTATAGGATATCACACTATAATAGTTGTTTTAAAGAAGAGCTCAAAGGAGGTGGTGTTCCTGATTTCTTGCATGTTTCGTATGATCTGTCAATTACTTTTATACTTGAAATAATAACTGGTTTAGATTTAACATTCTTGGTTTATATTTCCCTTTCCCAAAGATGTGGTAGATATTGCTCTGTTGCCTTCTGCAGTAATTTTTAAATCTGAGGTCAGCCAGATTTTTTTCTTTCTTGTAGGAGAATAGATTCTTTCTTGCCCCCCACAGAATGCTCTATCATTAAACTCCAGAAAGTTTCTCAGGTTATGTGCTGATCATTCTATAGCAACTTTTCCTGGTATACAATGTACTCATTTTACCTATATGCTTGATTTTTCCCTTATTTCAAAGAAATGTTCTTTTATTATATCTTTGGATATTTTTTATATTTCTTCTTTAGAAATGTCAACTATACACACATTGGATCTCCTTTGGCTCTATATCAGTAATGTTCTTTCAAATATTTAAGTCTTTGTTCTTCTATATTTTTGTGTTTTTAGAAATGGCTTGTTTTTTCCTTCTGATACCTTTAATGTGACCTTCAGTAAGGTAATAGTTTCATTTTCTCTTCTATTTTTTGACTCTGATGCAGCATTTTTCATTACATTTATTTTCTGATGTTTTTCCTTGAGTCCTACTATGTCTTATCTGGATTCTTGTTTCAGAGGGGTTGTGATTTTTAAAATAATTTTTAATTTGAGGAATACTATATTTTTCATAATTTTTGGCCTGATTTGTGTTATAGTCTTATGAATTTTTTATCTGCCTTCTGCTTGCTATATACTTTTCCTTAGACTTTTAGTACTATTTTTACATATGTCCCAGCTGATTTTTTTCTATTTTTCATCTATAATACACACCTGAATCGGCTAGTCAATGATGGATAATATATAGGAGAGTTAGGTAGAATGCAGCAGAAAGTTTGAATTTTAGACCATGGCTTTTGAACACATTCCCATGAATATTCTCCCTGAGGTATATAGTAAACCAATTCTGTGTTACCTAGAAGTCTTTCTGGCACCTAGTGAAGCCACAGGTTCGTTCTTTCTTTCTTTCTTTCTTTCTTTCTTCCTTCCTTCCTTCCTTCCTTTCTTTTTCTTTCTTTCTTTCTTTTTCCTTTCTTTCTTCCTTCCTTCCTTCCTTCCTTCCTTCCTTTCTTTCTTTCTTTCTTTCTTTCTCTCTTTCTCTCTTTCTTTCCCTCTCCTCTCCCTTCCCCTCCCCTCCCCTCCCCTTTCCTTTCTCTCTCCCTTTCCCCACTCCCTCCCTCCCTTTTTTCCCTCCTCCCCACTTCCTTTCTTCCTTTCATTCCTGCTTGTCTGCAGGGCTATTTCCACTGATAATTTCTCTACCACCATGTTTCACCCACAGCAACTCTTTTGGGAAGACAACACGTCTGTATGCTTTCATATTCAGCTTGGCAATATCTGCCACTCTGTGATACAAAGTAAGATTTACTGAGGTTTCCCAGCTCCTGCATGAAACCCAGTTGGCCATTCAAGTGAAGAGAGATTCTGTTTTGTCTTGGTATATCCCACCTACTGTGGTGAATGCTTCACTGTGCTCAGGGCCTGTAGTGGCTTCTGTCTCTTGTGGAGCCCTCCTCTGTCTTTGTATTATTTTCACTGTACCTGGCAGCCGTTGTGCTTTAGCATTGTGGTTGTTTCTTCATATGTTATGGTTTGTGGTTATGGTTGTTTCTTATTGTATTAGTTATCTATTATTATGTAACACAGCACTTCAAAACTTAGTGACTTCAGTCAACTGCAATGTATTACTTCTCCCGATTCTGTTGGTGACTGGGCAGTTCTGCCAATCTTATCTGGGTTCATTTACCTAACTTCAGTCAGCTGGTGGCTCATCTGCAATGGCTGAGACAGCTGGGATGTCTGGGCCTCTCTCTCCACATGTTTTCATTCTGGCTACCTTCATGGCATGGTGATTTCAGGGTTCCAAGAGGGTAGGAAGCTTCAAAACCTCTCATGGCAGAGACTAGAAATTCTCAAAGCAACACTTCTGCTGCATTCCATTAATCGAAGCAAGTCAGAAGACCAGTGCAGTTTCAAGAGGTGGCAAAGTCACATTGTAATTGTCATCCAGTTATAGAAGGAATTTAGCTCTTTGAGCAAACAATCTAAAACGTTGTGGTTCATTTTTTGATTTATGTTTCTTGACCATGTTTTCATTTGGTTTAATGGTAAAGGAAGGAACAGAGACAGTTTTACACTGTTGCCTTTATAGGAAGTCAGCTATTATTAGTTTTAATGGTAATTAATAATAATATACCTTCTTTATAATAATATAGCACCTTTTATTTTTTACTTATTAAAGACCATAGGCTGTAACTTAAGAAGTGACTCTCCTGTATGTAGTTAATAGCTCCCAATCATAGTGAAAGGATTTTGAGACCTGAAATGGGAAAGCTTTTGCCAGTTTATGTAGTAAAGGATAATGAATTTTAGACTGGAGGTCAGGAAGACAGTCTTCTATTTCTGATTCTAATCCTAGTTTTGTGATCTTGAGGAGATGAGTTTACTTTTGTCTCTCATTTACTAAAATGA